GAGAGAGAGAGAGAGAGCACGCACACATACACATGAGGGGGGAGGGGTAGCGATGGGAGAGGGGCAGAGAGAGAATCTTAAGCAGGCTCCATGTTCCACATGCAGCAGATGCAGGGCTCGCTCTCCGGACCCCGAGATCACGACCTGAGCCAAAATCAAGAGTGGACAAAACTGACTGTGCCATCCGATGCCCCTTGAATATTCTTTAAAGAACGTTCACTAAGGATTTGGGAAGACAAGAGACTAGACAGTATTTTGAGGGGAAAGGTGAGGTCTGCCTGTATGGGACCTTCCTTAGGCAGCAGATCTGTCTCTCCCTCCATCCCCATCCCCAGCTTTAAGGACTCTAGCAGGTATTTATGTGGAGATCACATTCCAAGAGGTCAAGGGCTTTCTTTTACTTCGTAAAGAAAAGGGATAGGTGTTCAGGAGTATCCTGGTCCAGCACTTTGGCACTTCTCATCGCAGTGGAAAGCGGGCAGCCTGCAGGTCCCTGCTTCTCCTCCCCCGTGTCCCACCCCCACCCCACCCCACGTGACCTTGTAAAACACTGAGTCTGCCCCCGGTGCCCTCTATAAATCCTCAGCAGCTTTGTTCTTCCTGAGTGTTGCTGAACCGATTGACCTTCAAGTCCGGCATCCAAAAAGCAGAGAATGGTCAGATGGATTTTCAGTGGTTAACTGCATCCCATTCCTTTGGCCTCATCGCCTCTTTGACCTTGTCAGAAAAGGCCTCTTTACTGTCCTCCTGAAGATGTTTGTGCTGCATTCTCCATGACACTTAAGGCAACAATCCTCAGCTCCAGACCTGTTTGCCAGGGTGGTGTCTTCTGACCACAAATAGGTACACTTCTTAAGATCGTCTGGCTGGGCACAGCCGTCTTAGCCCTGGGTGTGGGCCGACACAGATTTCCAGTCCTGCTGGTGGAAGATTCTACTTACCTTTTGAGGTGGTCCTTCTCAAGTGCCTTTACCAAGTGGAACGCCCAGCCATTAGATAAAGGCAGAATGAAGAAGCCTGGGCTCATATCTTCACTTTCTAGGATCACTTTTAAAACCGCATCTCTACAGATACAGAGGTATTTTTACTTATCCTGCTTGAAATGTGTTGTGCCTCTTGAATCTGAGCATTCAAATGCTTTATCACTTTTGGAAAGATCTCAATGACCATCTCTTTACATATGGCCACTCTCTTCTTAATATCACACTAAGATGATAAAGATTTGAATAGGGGCACCTGGGTGGCTCAGTTGGCTAAGCGTCTGCCTTCTGCTCAGGTCATGATCCCAGGACCCACATCCAGCAGGAAGCCTGCTTCTCCCTCTGCCTGCCCCTCCCCCTACTTGTGAGCGTTCTTTCTCTCTCTGGCATACAAATAAATAAAATATTTTTAAAAAATTAAAAAATACAGACTT